TGTTACTTAGTATTTTAGTTATTTTTATTTTCCTTTTAGTCTTTCTACATGATATGCAGTGATAAATTATTGTGACTAGTTTGTTTTTCCTGATGACTAATGATGTTAAGCATTTTTTATGTTCTTATTGTCCAGTTGTGTATCTTATTTTTTTAGTAAGTTTAAAATTTCTTTTCATGTCCTTTGCATAATTTAAAAATAGTAATTCCAGGTTTCTTATTACTATGTTGTAAATATTGTTTATGTATTCTAGAGATATATGTCTTTTGTCACATATATGTTTTATCTGTATAACTATATAGATAATTTGTATATATAATTTATAAAGTTAAAGCTATATATATATTTATAAAAGTGTAAAGTTATATGTAAGTATAGTTTTTTATTTATAAATTTTTATTAAAATAAATTTATATTTAATTTTAATTTTAATTTCAATAAACAGTAATAATAAATAATCATTTTAAATTTTATTAAAATTTATATTTTATGTAGAGAGTTTTCTTCTAGGCTGTGGATTGTCTTCTCTTTTTTAAAAGGATGACATCTGATGAGCATTTTAAAATAATTGACAATTCACTTTTTAACTTTTTCTTATGGTATATGCTTATTGTGTGAATCTAATAAATATTGATCTACCCTAAAGTCTATTGTGGTCTTTTGCCCAATTTTAATTGGGTTATTTGTTTTTTTTTCTATTAGGTTGTATGAGTTTATTATATATTTTGGAAATTAACTCCTTATCAGTTACATGATTTGCAAATATTTTTCCCATTCTGTAGGCTGCCTTTCAATTTATTAATTGTTCCCTTTGCTGTGCAGAACTCTTCAGTTTAATGTAGTCCTACATATTGATTTTAGATTTTCTTACCTGCACTTTTGGTGTCCAACCCAGGAAATCATATCCAAGACTAGAGTCAAAGATCTTTTTCCCTATGTTTTCTTCTGGGAGTTTTATGGTATCACCTGCCATATTTGTCTTTGATCCATTTCAACTTAAAATAGGGGTTCTATTTCATTGTTTTTCATGTGGATATCCAGTTTTCCCAAAACTGCTTATTGGAGGGACTGTTCTTTCCCCATCGTGTGTTCTTGGTGCCCTTGTCAGCAGTCAGTTGATGGTATATGTGTGAGTTTATGTCTGGGCTCTCTCTTCACTTCCATTGTCTGCTTTCATGCCAACACCATACTGCTTTGATGATAAAGCTTGGTTGTATAGCTTGAAACCAGGTAGTGTGAGGCCTCCAGCTTTGCTCTTCTTTCTGAAGATTGCTTTGGCTATTTGGGGTATTTTTTGTTCCAAATAAATTGTAGGATAGGTTTTTCTATGTCTGTGAAAAATGCCATTCAAATTATGATAGGGATTTCTTGAATCTGTAGATGGCTTTGGGTTGTATGTACATTTTCACAATATTAATTCTTCCAGTCCATGGGCATGAAATATCTTTCTTTTTATTTGTGTCTTCTTTAATCTTTTCATCTATGTCTTGGAGTTTTCAGTGTACAAATCTTTCACCTCCTTGGTTAAATTTATTCCTTAGTGTTTCATTGTTTATGAAGCAATTGAAAATAGGATTGCTTTCTTAATTTCTCCTTCAAATAACTTGTTAGTATATAGAAATGCAGCTGATTTCAGTGTGTTGATTTTATACCCTTCAACTTTAATGAGTTCATTTAGTTCTAACAGTTTTTTGGTCAAATTAGGATTTCCAATATTTCAGATCCCATTATCTGTTAACAGAGATAATTTAACCTCTTCCTTTCCCATATGTATGCTATTTATTTATTTATTCACTGCCCAAGTGCTATGATTTGGACTTGCAGGACTATGTTAAATAGAACTGGTGAGAGTGAGCAGCCCTGTGCTATTCTTCATCTTAGAGGAAAGGCTTTTAACTTTTGAACACTGAGTGTGCATTGGTACAGGTGCTCTGTGTGGCTGTGACACTGGCGTGTAAGGTGCAGGTATGTGCAGACCTCCCATGGAACCAGGAACTTGGTCTTGCTGCAGTGACTGGCCGGGGGTGGGGTGTGTGTGCAGTGGACGCAGCAGGGACGGTGGCTCTGGGAGGTCAAGGGCAGCAGTGGCTTGGGCCCAGCTGAAAGGAAGCAGTAGTAACACAGCCTGGTCATGGGGGGGTCGAATTTCCAGAATCTCCCAACTAGTCTGTTCATTTACATATCAGTAGTTGTTTTGCAGAGCCTCTCCTCAATCTGGAGCAATGAGTGGAGAGAAAACGGCCATTCTCTCTTCCCCCTCCTTTCCTGGTACTTACTTGGTCTGGCATCTGCCGGTCACCAATGGAGCTCCTCCTGGAAGAGGCAGGCAGGAAGCAGACAGCACCCCGTGGCTGTGGATCGTGAGCTGCAGCCAGAGGAGACGGTCAGTGCCAAGCCTGGCCAGCACATCGGAGCACTCTGCGAGCAATAAAAATGGTTTCTCCCAACCTGCTCTTACCTTGACTTATTTCAGTTTCCCGTATTTCATAGGAGATTCACCCCGAGTCTTCCCCCAAAGCTGCCTCGAGCGTGGGTCGGCAGGATCTGTAAACCTGGAATCTGTCTTTATGGGCACAATGTGCGGGTGGGATGCCCCTATGGATGGTAGGGAAATACCCTTGAACCCCCTTCGGGTGGTGGTGAGACAGCTGGGAAGCCCGGCTGTTGATGGTGGGGCCTCACCCAGGGATCCCCATAGTGGTTGGTGGGGATTCACCTGGGGACTCCCCAGGGGGTATCTGGTCCCAGGTAAAGTGCTTCATGGGCCCTCCCCACACCTGGGGAGCAGTGGGGACACCAGAGGCGGCAGAGTTGGCCCTCCGCAACATAGGGGAGCTCCTCAGGGGAACTGAGTGGTCACGGGGTTGCAGGAGTATGTGGGGTGGCTGTTTTTTGTGGCCTTGGAAAGGGTCACCGACCAGAGGGACTCAGCTCAGAACTGACTGGAAGAACAGGAAGACGAGTTGTGGGATGCTCTGAAAAGGGGAGGAAAGGTGCGGACAACTGAGGTTGTGCTGCTGAGACACGCTAGAGACACAGGAGGAGGCAGCAGAAAAATGCAAGCTGCAAAGAGGAGGAAAGAGTGGTGGCTTCACCCTGGAGATGGTAGAGAGCTGGGGCCGGGGAGGGGGCTGCTGCGAGGCCACCGCTGGAGACAGCAACCCCTCCTGTACTGAAAGCCCGCCTGGTGGTAGCTAAGAAAATAGAGACGCAACAACCGTGGTTTCCTCGGGGGCGGTGGGGGGGCCACCCCCTCCCCATCCTGTAGAGCCTCCGTGTCCCACCCCATCACCCAGGTGAGCTCGTGGATTCCAGCACCTGGTTTTGACAGAAGCACTCAGAGCCTCTGCATACACAGCTTTTGTGCCTTTGAGATTTAGGAGTAGACGACTTTGTTCTGCATGGGTAGGAAATGGATAAACTGGCTTCCCTGATGACCCTCTGTTTGGCAGAGGATACAAAATGCCCATCAGACCCTATCAGACCCTAGGGAATCATACGCTTTTTGATTGGCTGACTGCAACCCTTAGGGCAGTCTGGCCTAATCAGGGTGATTTACCCAACTTCCCCCTTAGTTAGAAAATGTATGCAGAGCTCCAGTGGGTTCTATGGGAAGGGGACATTAGCAACATCATCTGTAATACGGACCCCCAGGGCCCCGATGAGGAGTCTTCACCATGGGAATGAAATATCTGGTGCTCCATACAGCTCCCCCACCCCTCTTTGGGTCCCTGGTGACCATTCTTGCCTCCAACATATGACAACCCATAAGTGAGGTGACTCATATTATAGCAGATCTGCAGGAAGTTGAAATAATAAGAGCATAGATGGAAATACAGTTTGTGACTGAAAGAAGAGGTTCAAAGGGCCCCGTGAAGGTCTCCAGGACGCAGATGTGGGCTGATTTGATAATAGTGGGGTCAGTGAAAGACAAACTTGATGGACAGCCCAGTAGAACCTTGCTAGAGCTGTGGAAACAATTAAAGCCAGAGCAGTGATTCCAGCTGCTGAATCCAGGACACGGAAGCCAGAGGCAAGGCCCCATGTCCAGCCTGCGTGTCTTCAGGACTTCCTGGGATAGAGTACTAAGACCTCAGCTGGGCCTCTGCCCCCACAGGAAGGCAACTGGACATAGTGATTTAACTGAGGGGGGAGACAAGCCCCCCACCTTGGGGGATGTGGTGGGGACCAGAGGCCACAGGTAGAATTAGCAATTCACTGGTCCCCAGCACTGGAGGACACAGGAGCTGC